GCCGGACTGACCAATAGGAAATGGAGGGACCTTTCAGTCGATATTAATGTCAGGAGTAGTGATTGCCATGCAACAAATGCACTAGAACTATGAATGTATGAAAGCTCCCCAAATGAACTAAAATGGAGTTTGCATCCAACTTGCTTGCTCATGAAGACCTCGCGCGTATTGAGTAAGCTCGTCATCGAAATATACAAGCCAAGTTCTATAATGTAATAGGTCCCCACTAGTATGATAATGATATGTATATATGAAAAACATGTGCTACTTTGAAGCACAAGTGTGTATAAATGATAGTAGTGTGCCCCCTCTCTCTTTATTTTCTCACTCTTTTTCGACACTTTTGACCTCTTTTTCTTGGGCTTTTTTTGCCTCTCTTTTTTATTCCTTGCAAGGTAGGGGCAATACTCTAAATGACATCACACTTCTATTTACACATAACTCGGATTATAAATTATGTCTACAAATGAATGCCTCTAACAGTGTACCAATATATGCAATTATTTAGCGTAACATGTAAACAATGATGAATTTGAGGGGATCAACTTAATCCACTTTTTTAAAGGTCCCAAAAACTTTGAATTTGAATCAAAGAATTTGATTATTAGAGATGCCCCAACACCCCCTATACTCCCGGGCAGATGGCCCGATCACTAACTGGTCAAGAAAATGACTCAGACGGACCCCTCGTATCAGCCCGAAATGCTCGGGCAGACCGGCACCCATCATATCCAACCTAAATCTAGGGTGGATATGGGGTGGTCTGAGTGTGCCCGGACGTGTCCGCCACGTCGGATCAGGCTCATATTAGCCCACCCCGACCCCACATATATTCGTCCCATCCACTCCCCGGACCAAACCCTAGCCACTCCACTCTACTCTGCCCCAAGCTCCCGTACGGCAATCTCTGGCCTTGTTCGACATAGCGGATAGCAGATCTGACTCTGACCACTCTCGGTCAGTCGACTAGGATTTGGAGTTTATGATGCATGTGTAATTTGGATTCGGAGTTTGCTAATTGAGGTATCTCGATATGAAAATAAAAATTGAAGGTGTGTGTCTTCTGTTCGCCGGACGCGGCCAGTCGCGTCCGCCGGTTTAGCTATGTGGCTATAGATGCTCTTACATCCCAGCTGTTTATGGAAAGCCAACCAAGTACTGCCACGAAATCTGGCTACGGACGGGCATGGAGTTATTTTCTTTCTTTTACAGAAAGAAGCGTGAAGGAAATCATGCTAGAAACAGAAAGGATGTCCTTGCCAGGGCATTGACCTGCTTGTGTACATAAGCAACGGATAACTAGAAGGATATTTTCTGAATACGAAGAGCTGACCTAGGCCTTTGTACCATCGTAACAGCAAAAACATAGAAGAGGCGGGACTGCGCCATTACAAAAGCTCCAGGTAAATGACTCGTACAGTCCACAGCGAAGAACATCAATCTCACCACTCCGAACCGCTCGGTCAACCAGCAAGATGAATTAGATCTTAGAGACCGCTTCCCGTCGCTTTGCTGGTAGGAGGGCTTTCCACTGAAGCACCACAGCCACCGGTCTATACTCACAGAAGAGGAAACTTCACGGTTAAACACCTGTCATTTCTGGTAATGACCAGGCCATGCCGGCAAATGTAGAGACCTAATGCAACCCTTCAACACCCCCATCGCCACTGATCCCTGCAACTGCCTCAAAATTCTCATCTTGATCTTGTATGCCGTTGACAAATACGCTGATCGGGTTCAGATGCTCAGCTACTTCCTTCCTCACCGTCTCAATCGTCAAGATGACACCACGGTTGTTGCTGTAGCGTACGTTGTAATGGATGGACACCTCCGACACGGAGCAGAGGTTGTTGATACCCGCAAGAACGCTGCCTGATCGACTCACTGGGTGTCCGCCAATCTTCATCTCGAGATATCTTAACCTCTGCATGGCACCTTGGCTGAAAGTGAGCCATGGGAATCGGCAGCCAATGCACAACCTCTCAAGCTTGCGGAACCCAGCCCTGCCAATCACTATTGCTTCCTCTGGGAGGAAGTCCAGACCGAGCGAAAGGTGCTCCAAGCTCGGCAAGTTCGTTAGGATACTCAGATCTTCTGTCACTAGCCTCAAAACCGTGATCTCCACAAAAGCAAGGCAATCGAGCCCCTGGAACCATTGTGGAAGCCTGACGAACCTTCCACCACCCGTCACCTTGAATTTCTCAAGATCATTGGACCGACCTTGATCAGGCAGAGAATCTAGGAACTCAACGCAAGAACCTTGTCCGCCATGGATCGACAGAGACTTGAGCCCCCGCCATTTTTGGAAGGAACAGTGCAGAGCTTCTTGGTATCTTCTGTTGGAGCACTGGTGAAAAGACCATGTTATGGCCAACTCTGTTAGTTTCTCCATTCCACCAAGCGCCTCTACGAGTCTTGCGGAGCATACGCTTAGATGAACGGTTGCTAGAGTACGAAGATCCAAGAGACACCCAATCCCATCGGGAATTGTCGTTCCACCGTTGCGGCCATCTCCATAATCGCCAATGAGCAGATGCCTCATCGACCGCATCTTCCGGATTTGTTCCGGCAGCTGCCTGACTGGCGTGCTCCTTAGGTCCAGCATCTCCAACCGTGACAGCTCGCACGCTTCTGATGGGAGCTCACTGACCTCTGTGTGGCTCATGTCCAACGTTTCCAAACTGCGCAGCTCCTTGATCTTGGCAGGGAGCTTGCGGACTCTTGTATTCTTCACGCTCAGATAACGGAGAAGGAGCATCCTGCTGCTGCATATCAACAACATGTCTTCGTCCTTGAAGCACTGCCAACCTTCAAGGTCCAACACCACCAGATAGATAAACTTATCAAGAGGGAATAGTAGGTCGTCCACCGCACCAGATATAGATAACGAACGAGCGTTGTGGAAGTGAGAAAGGTTGCTTCTTCTACTCAGAAGCATTTCGAGCTCCCGGTCAGGCTGGTTTACAGACAACCACCGCAGTTTCTTGTTTCCCATTGCTTCTGGAGAAGCGCAGCGCATGCCGCTGGCACAAGCAAAGCCCTTGTCATCCAATCTGTAAGCCAGGAACTGCAGCATGAAATAATTTACTTGCCAACGGCAATTTTCCTCCACTTGAGTGGTGGGCTCCCAAATGTTTATTGCTCGCGTGACGACGTTCCTGTCGATAAGCATGGAGAAACACGCCTCTGCTTCTTCATACGAACCACTCAGCCCTTTGGCGATCCATTTCCGAATGAGACTATCCTTGTTAAACATATAACCCTCAGGAAACATGCTCATGTATAGCAGCAATACTTTCGACCAGTATGGAAGATCATCATAAGTAGGATACAATGTTTGTTCGAATTGCTTGAGCAGTCTGGGAAATTGGGGAACTTCTTCTACCAGGCAGTCCAGGCTACCGTTGCTATAGAATTTCTGGACCTCTTGTTCTCTCAACCAGTCAGCCATACCAGATATGAAGAATGGTATACCTTGACAGCGTCTCAAAATTTCATCACGAGATTGCTTCAAATTGTCTGGCCACAAATAGTTCTTGGAGCCGAAAACACTTTGCAACAGAAGCATTTGTGAATCTAGCTCGTTAAGAGGCTTAACCTCATGCATCAGACCATTGGAACAACATGTGTACCAAGCCACGCTCCTGATTCGTGTAGTTACTATTATCCGACTTCCTCTGTTATTACGTGGCAAAGCACTGCTGATGATATCCCAATCGGATTCTTTCCAAAGATCGTCAATTACGATGAGGTACCTATTGGTGACAGTTTGAAAGGGACAATTGAATAGCTGGTCAATAGGTCTTAAATAGATGTCGTTTCTCATACAAAAAAAGAACTTAACTAGTCAATAGTTGGACATTGTATATAATATAACAATTAACTGAAATAAACTTGAGGATAAAAACAGTGAATTGAATAGTCCATATATCACACTGAAAATAGGATTATTACATATTGAAGATGGATACCATCGACTAAGTTATGAAGTGTAGTATTGGTCATCCTACTTTATATTGTGTTTCTCATAATATGCCACCATAAAATGGGATGAATAAATACTACAAGGCGATTAGATTCATACTCAATCTATCGTGTAATTTAGTCTTCTTTGTCCCATATTGAGATATAATAAAGAAAAGAATAAAAACAGTGGATTAAACAACATGTATCTGAGATATAAGACATGATGCATAAGCATAAAAATAGTGGATTGAACATCACATATATCAAGTTGAATATATATATATAATATAGTACACGTACTACGTGGTCCTTCTAGTGTAATAACCTCTACCATTTCACTAATAGTGGTACTCAGCAGATTTAACTTCTTGTCATTTCCAATAAGGCATGGACAATTTTAATATAGTTCATTGTCATTTTTGTCTGATGTGGTAGAGGTACAAGTTACACTACTATTAGCAAGTAGCTCTTAGCTGGTATTCACTGTAATCAGGTCTTTTTGGTGGCACCACTATATTTCCGTCATACCGCCCAAAAGATCCAGTAAAATGCCTTTGAGTTCGAGTCCCATATTTAAAAACGTCGACCATGGTAAGCACTTCTCAAGAAGGACAATTAAGAAAATGAAGAACTCAAGAAGGTAGCTGGAAAAACGACAAAGCTGATATAGGATAAGTAAGCAACACAAACGAAGAAAATGAGAGAAGAATGACATAAATCCATCACATTTCTTTTGGTGCAACAAAGATTGAAGAGAAAACAGACGCCGGCTTTGAGTTATTTGTTGATGTCTTGATCTTGTAGTATGGTATGTTATATCATTTCATAGATGTTTGAATATTACCTGAATAGTGCTATCGCTTGAATGATGGTTGAATGAGAATTAAAAATAATTTTTGTTGTGTTATATACTAATATAAAGCAAAACACCAGGTGAGGTTCACATATGATTGTGCTAGAGCTATCATATGCAGTTGTCTCCCACTAGGAGAAATTGAGTGGAGGATAAAGACAGTAGGTTGAACAACAATATATCATGTTGCAAATAGGATGATATGTACAGAAGGATGTAGAATGGCATACGATCGGCTAAGTTAGGAAATGTAGTATTGTCCATCCTATTTTATATTATTCTTAACATGGTATGCCAATATAAAATGGGATGAATAAATCTACATGGTGAACAAGTTCATGTTCTCTATCATGTAATTTAATCTTCTACCTTGTCTCCCACTGAGAGAAATTAGAAGAGAGGATAAAGATGGTATCTTGAACAATAGGTATATCAGGTTGAAGATAGAATGAATACATATCAAAGGATACAATCGACTAAGATATGAAATGCATTATTGTTCATCCTACTTTAGATTGCATTTCTCATGATATGTCAATATAAAATGGGATGAATAGACATTACATGATGATTAGTTGCATATTCAATCAATCGTGCAATTATCTTCTGCTTTAGTCCGCACTAAGAGAAATTAAAGTAGCGGAAAAATATAGTGGGTTGAACAACACGTATCAGATTGATAATAAGATGGATACATACTGCACATATTACGACTTCTACTGTATACTAATCATCTCTACCATTTGACTAATAGTTGTACCCAACAGGCCAACACGGATTTTACCTATCCATTCAATTTCCAAATAAAGCATGGACAAATTAAATCAAGTTGATTATCATTACTGTGTGATGAAGGGGAGTCTTGGTGCGGCGGTAAAGCTGTTGCCTTCTAACCATGAGGTCATGGGTTCGAGTCCTGGAAACAACCTTTTGCAGAAATGTTGGGAAAGACTGCGTACAAAGACAACTACATGCACCGGACTGCCCTTTATAATTACTGTGTGATGTGGTACATGTACAAGTTATATTATTTTCAATAGCATTAAGTAGCTCTTAGCCGGTATTTTTGATTATCGGTGTTTTCCTGAAATAAGGCGTGTATAGTGGCGCTGCTATATTAGGTGACACTGCACACAAAATCCAGTAAAATAGCATTCATAATCCAGATCTGACAATCTCAACCTAATAAATTCTTGAGAAGTACTTGAGGTAGTTGAGACAATGCAGAAGGACTTGAGAAGACAACCGGAAAAGTGTAGAAGACAAACTTCTCGGAATGACTTTGAAGGAGCCAACAAAGCTTTTCGGTCCCAAACAAGTTAGGGTAGACTAGAGTTGAAACCCATAACATCTCGAAACCTAGTCATGGTTCTGCCACATGGATAGCTAACTTCTCATGGCTAGTCTTTGGTGATATTACAGTCCTTCAAATCTCTCTTTACGGACTCCTCCCTTGTCGAGTTTGGTTGACCCCAATTGTAACAGCCAAGGTAGTACCCTAATTAGAAATTGATTTTTATTTATTTTTGCATCATAAGCATTGCATAAGCGTCATTCTGCATTAATTAAACAGATAAATTTGGATATTTTATTTTACCATTTTATTTTACCATTTTGTTAAATAATGAATAAGTACACCCTTCTCCCTTTTGGCGTTTTAGCCTGAGACCCACCTCCACACTTGGCACATAGCATTTTTGTCATATTTGAGAGCTACCCAAATTATTTCACAGTTTTGGCCCAAACCTAGCTATCACTTGTAGTTCAAACACATTTATCCAATTAAATCGATTTATTTTCGGAATAAAATTAAATGAAGTCCAAATGGGTTGATTATTTTTGTGTAGCCTCGTTATAATGTAGAGAGACCACATATAAAAGTTTATCCAATTCGGAGTTCGTTTGGTGCCCCAAATAATTTGTTCTATATCCCTACATCCTTTTAATGAATAAAATGTTTTGTTAAATAAAATTTCCTCATGGACCAGCCCATCTCTCCTTTCACAGCCATAGCCCACCCTGCTATATTAGGCAACCCCCCTCTCCCCCAATTTTGAAAACTCTTAGTTTGGAGGGAATCATTCCACCCCAAACCCTAGCCGCCGCCCAAGCTCCGAGATCTGTGTCGCCGATCTGACGGCTCCCGCACTGCCGCAGTCCCACAAGAATTTACAACCTTTTCCCTCAATTGATGCAAATCAGAAGGTAGCATTTCAGGAACGGATTTGTTGACGGATGAAGTTAGCTGGTTATCTCACAGACAGTGGTATGGGCAGGGATATGGACGCCCTTTGCTTTTTCTTTAAGTCCTTCTTAAGGAAATTTGTATTCTTTACCTATGTAAGGTATATTCGCTTCCATTGTATGAGTTGTGTCTTGGTCAAAAGACCCTTATTGTATTTCTTTGTTAAATTTGACTCTCTGGAATTATTGCATATAAATATGTTGTTGTTGTGGATTCTTTCATGACTTGTGTCAGTCAAAAGACCCTTATTGTATTTCTTTGTTAAATTTAACTCTCTGGAATTATTGCATATAAATATGTTATTGTTGTGGATTCTTTCATGACTTGTGTTGTGACACTGACACTCCACCCATTTGGGGTGCACGTTTCCACGTTTACGTTGTGTGAATGTGGCAACTTAGGATCAGTATTATGCGAAGGCTAGCGGAGGTTGCCAAATCTGCATAGTGCCCATTCCGGGACGCTGCACATACCACCCTTCACATTATTCTCACACTTTATCCTTCCGCTATGCACCGATGCTTCTAGAGGCTTGCGTTGTATATGGCCAAACCATCTTAGACGATATTGGACAAGCTTCTCTTCGATCGGTGCTACACAACTCTATCACGTATATCATCATTCCAGACCTGCTCCTTTCTTGTGTAGTTGTGTGACCACACATCCATCTCAACATGGGCATCTATACTACACCTAACTGTTGGACATGTTTCCTTTTAGTTGGCCAACATTCTACGCCATACAACATTGCAGGGTGAATCGCCGCCCCATAGAACATGCCTTTTGGCTTTTGTGGCACTCTCTTATACAAAGAATGCCCCAAGCTTGGTGCCACATCATCCATCCGGGTTAGATTCACTGGCTCACATCTTCATCGATGTCACCATCCTTCTCCAACATTGACCCCAACTACCGAAGGGTGTCCTTCTGGGTACCACCTTCCCATCAAGGCTAACCCCTCCTCCCCGTGCCTAGTAGTATTGAAACTGCACCTCATGTACTCATTTTTAGTTCTACCAAGCCCAAAACCTTTCGATTCCAAAGTTGTGTCCACGGCTCTAACTTCCTATTAACCCCGTCTGACTATCGTCAACTAGCAGCACGTCATCAGCAAAGAACATACACCATGGATATCTCCTTATATATCCCTTGTGACCTCATCTGCCACCAAAGAAAAATGATAAGGGCTCAAAGCTGACCCTTGGTGCAGTCCTATAATGTGGGAAAGTCATCACTGTCGCTATCACTTGTTTGAACACTTGCCACAACATTATCGTACACATCCTTAATGAGGGTAGTGTACTTTGTTGGGACATTGTGTTTCTCCAAGGCTCGCCACATGACCCTACATGGTACCTTATCGTAGGCCTTCTCCAAGTCAATGAACACCATATGCAGGTCCTTCTTTTGCTCCCTATATCTCTTCATAAGTTGTTGTACCAAGAAAGTGGCTTCCATGGTTGACTTCATAGGCATGAAACCAAACTTTTGTCACACTTGTTATTCTTTTAAGCGGTGCTCAGCTCAATGACTCTCTCCCATAGCTTTATTGCATGTCTCATCAACTTAATTTCAGGGTAATTGATACAACTTTCAACATCCCTCTTATTCTTGAAGATTTTTACTAATATACTCATCCTCCATTATTCAACTTTGAAGGAGCTATATACTCCCTCTATCAACTTTCATAA